ATTCAACCTAATAACATGGCGAGGAGCCCTTCCTGTAACTCCCCTGTCCTGGGCAGCAAGTATGGGTCTCCCTGCAGGCCGGCCGTGCGTCTGTGCACGTCCACAGTTTGTGGACTTATTACCACATGATGTAACGTAGGTGATTTTTCTGCAGTGTGGGGATTAAACCATGGTCTCAAGCATGCTAGGCAAGCACTTTACCACTGAGCGACACCACAACCCAATATAGAGAATTTTTACAAACTTTCTAATAAACACTTCGTAAACCAAAGTAAATCCCAGCACGGCCTGTGTAATACCCTTGGGGCAGCCGCTTCTCCCTCTCAGGAGCTTCAGTTTCCTTATCTGTGAAGTGGAACTAATGATTCTGTGCCGTTTACTAACTCATTGCCTCTCCGCTCCAGATCTGCCTGCTCTGTGAATACGCACCTGGGCTCTTGAAATGTTTTTCCTTGGCCAGATGACACGATGTTAAGTTTTGCCAACAGGGGGCGCCAAGAGACGTTCTGGAGGGAAAGCAGGCATTGCTTCCTGGTTTTCCTGCGCTGTGCTCAGGGTTGCTTCTGCACTGCGGCCAGTTTCTCGGGCTCAGCCCTGTGGCCAAGACAGTTGCCCCGGCACCAGGCTCTTCCAGGTGGCCAGCGGCATCCAGTGGCAGCTGCTTCTTCCAGCATTCCACCGCCACCTTGGGGGTGGATAGAGTGCTCCTAGCAAGCGACTTCCGCACAAAGAGCTTCCCCTAGTCTAGGTTGGTTTTGCCGGAAGATCCACAGGCTGCGCAGCATTTTAGCAGCTTCCTTGCTATCCAGCAGAGCACAGCCCTCCCTCTCCATCCAGGCTGCTTTATCAGAGTGGAGGTAAAAGGGGCTCTTGTTCGGGACTTTGTCCACTCTTCTCCACCGCCTGAGCCTTCTGGTGGAAGCTGCTGTTTTTTTTTTTTTTGTTTTTGTTTTTTGTTTTTTGTTTTTTTTTTTTGGTCTTTTTGAGACGGGGTCTAGCTATGCGGTTCAGGCTGGACTTGAGCGCTCTTTGTAGCCCAGGCTGGCCTCGAACTCGAAACGATCCTCCTGCCTCAGCCTCCCGAGTGCTGGGATTACAGGCCTGCGCCACCACACCCTGCTCAGGCTGGTCTTAAACTTACTTTGTAGCCCAGGCTGGCCTCCAACTCACAATGATCCTCCTGCCTCAGCCTTCCGAGTGCTGGGATTACAGTCGTGCACCACTACACCTGGCGGAAGCTGTTCTTTAAATCTGCTTTTCTGGTTTATTTTTGTTTTGAGATAGGCTCTTGCTATGTAGCCCTGGCTGGCCTTGAACTGGCATTAGTCCTCCTACTTCAGCCTCCTGAGTGTTGTTGGGATTATAGGCGTGCACCACCATGACTGCTCTTCCGGTTTCTTTAGGGTTCTCTCCTTACTAGCCAGTCTCCTGTTACTGCAGTCTCCTGTTGCAGTTAACAGTCTCTATTTTGAACTTTTCCTGTTCTGATTACTCGGTGGTTCCTCTCATCTGCTGTGACCCAGGCTAACACAGCTTCCTACCCACCCTGTTATGAGGATCAGAGCCGTAGTGTGGGGAGAGGGCCCTGCCCCAGTGCCTGACAGGCCGGGAGGACTTGGAAAACATCGGCATTACCACCACCGCTGCCACCGCCAGCCTCAGGCCTCGCGGCACCCTTGCACGTCTCTGTCACAAGCTCACAAACTTATTGTGGTTCCTGGGAGCAGATTTGAATCACTTCACTCCTGATGGACATTTGATTATTCTGATATTTCATTATTACAAACAGCCCACATAAACCCCACACGAACGTCAGCATTTACAGACGCAGTCACATATATGAACTCAGGAACACTCACAACATGGGCACACGTTAGTCTCGTGTGGCTGCCACGGAAATTACCATGAGGCTAGTGCCACAGAACAGCACATTTATAGGGGCTGGGGATTTAGCTCAGCGGCAAAGCGCCTGCCTGGCAAGCACAAGGTCATGAGTTCGGTTCCGGTACCGGAGAAAAACCGGGAAAAAAAAAAAAAAAAAAGAACAGCACATTTATTATCTTAGGGTCCCGAGGGCAGGTGTCTGCAGGCCTCCAGGGCCCGTGCACTTTCCAGGGTCTGGAGGCCCCCTCATTCTTGGCTTATGACCCCTTCCTCATAGCACTCCAACCTCTTTCTCCCAGGGTCACATTTACACCCCCTTCGATCATCCAGTTCCCCCTTATAATGACCCAGCGACTATATCAGTTCTAGTCCAATAATCCAGCATAATCTCTCTCTCAAAATTTTAAATCATTGTTAAAAAGTGTCTCACCATATAAGGTACCATTTTCACATGTTCTAAGTATTAGTAGGTTAATATCCCTGGTGGGTACTAGTCTCATGTGGCTGCGCCAAAGAAGTGCCTGAAATCCTAAATCTTTCTGTTTTTTTTTTGTTTCTTTGTTTGTTTTTGTCTTTTTGAGACAGGGTGTCACTATGCAGTTCAGGCTGGCCTTGAGCTCACTTTGTAGCCCAGGCTCATCTTGAACTTGAAACCATCCTCCTGCCTCAGCCTCCCGAGTGCTGGGATTACAGGTATACGCCACCACAGTTGGCCCTAAATCTTTCTCTATCTGTGACCATAGTGATAGGATCCATAGCGAGGTCTCTGCCTCCAGATTCTGACCACTTTTTGATGCCTGCGCCTCCTCTAGCAGCTGGCCTCCCCGGGTCCCTCTCCTGCCTGCATCAGGACAGCTACAGCCGCTAGTGAGGCTTGGGAGGCAGCCAGAAGCACAGCGCTGAGACTGCCGCTTCCTGCTGCACCAGCTCCCACAGCCTCAGTCTCCTTGGCTATAGGATGGGACAACAGTGGTCTCTACTCCTGGAGGGATCAAAGGCTGGCGTTATGCCCATCTTACAGATGAGGGAGTGGAGGCTCACACAGGGCACCAGGCAGGCACAAGATGAGAATGTGGCAAAGTGCACTGGACCCCCCAAAGGGCAGCCTTCCTGGGCTGCATTCCACCGTGGAAGTGGGGCTCAGGAACAGGGACCCTCGCAGGCAGCTCCTTTTGCTGACTCTATCTCCTGCCATCCTCTGCCAGCCCTGTACTATGCTTGGCTCCTGCCTCCCCACTGTCTCCAGAGACACCCAGATCTGCCCCAGCCCAGTGGTCTCTCCCTCCCTGCACCTCTTTCTTCTCCAGGGAGGCCCTGTGGCTGGCACAGGCCTGGCTTTGGTAAGGGCTGCAGGAATGTGCCACTAAATAAATGTCACCACATGAATCCTATGTTCTTAGGCCTCTTCCCTCCCATGACAACTACGTCCCCAAAGTGTTTGCCCACGCCCTTCTTGATCAGTTAGCACTATCACACACAGCTCCAGCTGTGGCTCAACTGTCACTAACATTCTGCATGCTTGTATTTGGATCTGAGACCCTCTACTTGCCCCTCCAGTGGCAGGACCCTCTCCACCCCCAGCATAATCTCTTCCATAGTCACAGTGTTCTCACCATCTTCTGCCTCTAGAAGTCACACAGGAGGGGCTCTATTCTGTCCCCTATTCTGTCCCCAGCAGCTGCAGCTGTCTAATCCTGCCTCAGTGTTACTGACCCTAACTCTTGGCTGAAGACAGGGAGACCAAGTGGCTGTTGAGGGCTATTCTGTGTCAGGTATGGTACCCACACCATGCAGCCCAGTTTATAGACAGGGGACCCTGGCTCCCAGAAGGTTCAGGATCTGTCTACTGTACTGACTGCAGCGGCAGTCACAGCAGTGCTTCAGTTCATGAACCTGATTCTTTCCACAGTTCTGGTTGCAAACCGGGTTGGACGAGAACCGAAGCAAAGTCAGTGGTTAGGTTCAATGCCGACCCTACGGGAAACTGGATTCTGTTCTCCTCCAGTTTGGTTTGCCACCACAATCTGAAGACAGTTTGAGCTCATGAGTCGAGGTGCCTCTCACTGTTATTATCTTCGCTTTTCCAGACAGCAGAGGGGGGCTGTGAGTTTCCACAGCCAGAGAGGCTGAACCAGGATTTGAATGCAGCTTTGCCCGACCGTGGCATCCCTGTCATCCCATGAGAGGCTCCCATCCAGACACTGCACAATCCCTTCCAGAATCTCATCCACACTTCATAGGGCAAGGCCAAGGGAATCATTACCTGCCAGGTCCAGCCCACCCCTGCCTAGACACAAGGATTTTTCCAGCACCTCCCCGCCCCAGTGTCACAGGCAGATTGAGCAGCTGCCAGCCCCAGCACTTGGGGCCTGGAGCAGGTGCTGACCTTGAGATGCAGAGAGCCCAGGCTGCTGCGCCTCCCGATTTGCCCACCTGTGCCTTGTCCACCCTCTTTTCCTGGGGTCTCTGCCTCGTCTCTCCCCTGGACCTCTGCCTCACTCTCTGCTCTCCCTGCCATCACCCTTCAGAAGCCTCTCCACTGTCTCCCAGCCCCTCCCTCCTGCTCACTCCACATTCCACCAACGCCGTCGCCCCGCTGGGCCCTGGGGCCTCTCCCTAGCTGGTGAGGCAGCGTCAGACTCAGAGCCAACATCCTCCATAGGTCTCGACCTCACTGCTTCCTGCTGTCAGTCGCCTTCCTTTTCTGACATCCGCCTATCTTTCCTCCCTGCCTCGGTTTCCCAGTCTGTCCCTTCTCAAGCTCTCATCCTTGCAATAATGCTGGAAGGTGGGCTCTATTACCACCTCCCCTTAATATATAACGGCACAGAGGCTGAGAGAGTTTGGGTGACCTGCCAGGGCGGACCCGCGGAGGCCGCCGAGGTTGACCTAGAAACCGCTAGCCGCTGTCGGGCCCGCC